CGGGCAGACGGCAGACATGAGACTGCGTGGGCCGGCGGAATGAGCGAAGCGATTATAAATGCAAGAAGTTCCGCGCTCGTCTCTGCCCGACACAATTCGGCCGCAAGCGCCCAGGAACTCTCTGGCCGACCCGAGCACCTCGCCAGCGTCCGCAATTCGAGCGGGCACGGCGAACACAACCCCTTCTTCGCTGTAAGACGAAGTCAAGACGAATGCGACATAGGGAGAAGATCAATCAAGAACCTCTGAGATCCGGCGGCTCTAGAGGATGGCCGGGGCGCCGCGGCTTTCTCAGAACGTTCGGGAACGCGCGTAGAGCGGTCCGGAACGCTCCAGGCGGATGCATTCCGCCCTGGCCCAGTCCAGCACTTTTGCCCTTGATCACTCTCTGACCGTAGCTTTGCATGACGGGCCCGTTGGCGGCGCCGTTGCGCTTGCCTGATCGGGGTGCCTCAGCGGGTTCGACAGGAAAGCGCGAGCCCGGCGCCCAGGTCAGATGCATCCACCGCCGTTTCGAAACCATCCTCTCGCTGACTTTGAAGGGCCGCCTTGACTTCAAGACCGTCGTCCAATCTCCCTCTCTCTCTCTCTCTCTATTTTTGTTTTTTTTTTTGTTTTTTTGTTTGTTCTCTCTCTCTCTCTCTCTCTCTCTCTCTCTCTTCCTATCTCTGTGTCTCTCCACTAACTGCGCCGCCGCGTACTTTTCAAACCGGCTTTCCGCCTGCTCGATGCACCTTTTAACCTTGGCGTCGAAATCTGCTCGACGCGCGCAGTGCCCCCCAAACTTGCGCGGGTAGCTGTTCGTCAAGTTGAACCTTCTCATTGCCATCTCTTCTCCGGCGGCGCTGTTTCCGCTCCTCGCCGCGGGCTCTTGCCGCCCAACTTACAGCGAGCACTGAATGGCGATTGACTCCCACTACGGCTCTCGCCCTTGCTGCCTGCCAACCCAGCAGGCCTCCCGAACTCCGCGCTGCAACGTCCCGGGGGCCGGGGTTGCCCGAATGAGAGGTTCGGCGCTGCTGAACTTTCTAATCCGGCCTGCGGCTGCTCAGCCACGTTCGCACCCTTCCTCTTGGAACAAGTGGCCACTGCGCGCCCCTTGTCCCCGCGGGCGTAGCGCTCTCTCTCTCTCTCTCTCTCTCTCTCTCTCTCTCTCTCTCTCTCTCTCTCTCTCTCTCTCTCTCTCTCTCTCTCTCTCTCTCTCTCTCTCTCGGAGGCTGGGCCGTTTCCCGATTTTCCCCAGCCCCCTTGTCCATTGCCTCCCCCGTGCCCTCCCTTACCCCCAGAACCTCCTTTGCTCCTGGAGAGCTGGCCGCGCGCGGTGCGGTTGCATCCCCTGTAACTGCCCGTGCCTCTGCCTTTGCCCTTTGCCCAGCTGATGACGGGGATGCGCCCGAACCCCCCGCGTGTGCTCCTGCATCTTCATCCTGCATGTTTTCCTGGCCCCGCTGTTCCGCTGGCCACCAGTGGCCGTTGTTCTCGACGTAAACCGCATTATTCTATTCGCGTTCACCTCGCCACTTGTCGTCGTTGACGTGATCAACGCCTCTGGTTTCCATGGCGCCTTTGCCCTGCGTGTCCGCGTCGAACCTCTTCTTTCGGATCCAGTCTTCACATGTCGCGTAGAGCTCCTGATCGCTCTCCTGCGTCAGCGGATTAGGAATTTGGAATTTGACATGGTGCACATCCTCCAACCAATCGCCGGCATTCAACAAGATTGTTCGGAAAACGGCGATGCGGAACGGCAAGTTTAACGGGTGCCCTTGTCCGTACTTCTCCAGCGTTTCCGCTAAAACCGTCACTGCTGTGATGCCACGTCTCCGATGTGCATGGATTTGTCCAGGTCCATGGCCAAACGCATATTGGCTGAAGTGGTGGCCCCGGTAACTGCCGAATACCATGTGCATATTTTATGGTGCGCTCGCAGTCCGTCTCCTTCAAGCAACACCATTGAACTTCCCTCGCGGTTCCACCCCGTCCAGCTTGTCATTGGGGACGTGCCACAGGTTCTAACTTGTTCATCTGGTCGCTCGCGAGCTCAGATTCGCCTTTGTCGTCATCCTCTTGTTATTTTTCTGCTCGCACTTTTGTGTTTTCGGCCGACCTCGCCTTCTCGTTTCCACCCTGGTTTAATACGCCGCACGTCTTCTCCAGGTCATTGCCCAGATCCTTCAGCACCGTGCGGTGACTCGGAAACATATGTGCAAAAGCGTCCAGGAGCTTCTCGCTCTGTTCCCTGAACTCGCTTCGATCACCAACGAATATCTTTAACTGCTGCGTGGCCATGTACTCATTAATCGGCATGGTGCTCACATTCGCCGGTTTGAGGTTGCTCTCGGCGAATGACTCTGCTAATTGGTAGCACTGTGAAGCGCATTTTTCTGAACATCCGCTTGCATTTCTAAGTGCTCTCAATTTTCCTTACGTCTATGCGATTCGTTCTCGGCGTGCATGTTCCTGTTCACCGCGCTTAGTAACGCCGCGTTCATGCCTCGTTGCCCATGGGCAGGAGAACATAATTCTCTTCACTGGTAACCGTTCTCATCCTCTGCACTCGTCGTGCGATGAACTCTTTCATACCTTCACAGTTGGCTCGTAACGCGCTCACGCAACCATAGTCGCCATTGTAGTAGGCAACTTTGCACAACTTCGTGAAACGGGCCGGTCTCAGGTTGAACCACCTGTTCCGGTCTTGTGGCATGTTTCGCTCACGCCCTGGATCTCCTAGTCCTACAACAGCCCTGGCAGCGGCAGCACCCGCCATTGCTCGCGAGATAGCCTCGCTCCGCTACCATGCAAATCCTCGGAAAGGACAGGCACGGGAACGACAACGAAGTTGTCTGATATTGCTACGCTCAACAAGAGCGTTAACGATCAATGATTTGAGCCAAACGACGTCGATCGCGACGCACGCTCAATAACAACAATACTACAAATCTCCTGACCCCGTCACCCTCGTCATAATCAAGGCCTCCTCCTCCTCACCATCATCATCACCATCATCATCATCATCAGCAGCATCAGCATCAGCATCAGCATCGTCATCAGCATGATCATTGTCAGCATCAGCATCATCAGCATCATCAGCATCATCATCAGCATCATCATCATCATCAGCCTTATCATACTCACCATAATCATCGTCAGCAGCATCATCATCACCATCAACATCAGCATCAGCATCATCATCAGCATCAGCATCACCACTATCATCATGATCATCATCGTCATCGTCAGCATCGTTATCGTCATCGTCATCGTCAACATAATCAGCATCAGCATCAGCATCAGCATCGGCATCGGCGTCGGCGTCGGCATCATCATCAGCGTCAGCATCAGCATCAGCATCAACACCATCACCATCACCATCAGCATCATCATCATCATCATCATCAACAACATCAACATCAACATCAACATCATCATCATCATCATCATCATCATCATCATCATCATCATCACCATCAACATCAGCATCAGCATCATCATCAGCATCAACATCATCATCACCCCCCCACCCCGCCCCTCCCTGGAGGGCTGTGGCTGCGAGGCGGAGCTTTATCCACAGCCACGCCCTGAGGAATCGATCCTCGGGACCTCGGAAGATTCAGAGGACGACCCACACACTTGGGGCTCGGGGGTGCCAGCTATGTCCATATCCACCTCCTGGCTCGGCGGCGCGCTAAAGGGGTAGGGTGAGGTAGGAAGGCGTCTTAGAAGGAGGAGCCTTCTTCGAAGGCGCGGGCCTTGCATCTACAGACAAGGCGCGCGCATTCTAAGAAGCAGGGGTGCTTCGAAGAAGCCTTCCCCCGTCCCCCTACCCCCCTTCTGCGCGTCGCCGACTGGCCCCGCCTCGCACCTGGAGGTCCCCGAAGCTGTATGGAGGCCTCTGAGGATCCGTCGGCGACACGTCAAGTTAGGTCGGGCATGTCCCCCTACAGGCGGATGTGGAGCGAAAATTAAGACAGAAAAAAAAGAGATGCTCAAAAATATCCAAAGATGGCCGAAACATCGGCCCCAGACTACTTCTTGACTGCTTCTCAACACTCCTCCTGCAGAGGGACAGGCCCGGCTCGAACGTAAAGGGAGGCCCTGGGCAAGCGCCACCTTTGGTGCGCGACCTTCGGGGGCCGCGGGGGGGGCGCGGAGGGGGGCCAGGCTGGCTGACGCAGGGCCGCCGCTGGCGCCTCGCGCTCGGCAAGCCGGGGACCCCGCTGTGCGAGGCGGAGCCAGGACGGAGATCTGCCCACCCACCAGGCCACCCCAGCCCAACCCGAAGACCCGAATTTTCAACCCGAATTTCGGGTTGGTGGGGGTACGGGTTCCATTTTTTTTTCCATGTTCCCCGACGCCCCCCCACTGGAAAAGGAAGGCAAATTAAAGCCTTCGGGTTGGGTTGGGGTGGTTTGGTGGGTGGTGAAGGTAGCACCGGGTGATGATAAATCGAGAATCTCCGAGATCCAACGGCTCTGGAGAATGTTTCGGGCGCCGCGGCCTTCTACGCTCTGAGAGCGTTCTGGAACGCTTTGGAACGGATTTATCCTCGTCCTAGCCCCGCCCAGACTGTTCCCACACCAGACGCCACTCTGGCGAAAGGCCACTCTTACGTAGCCGAATCAAAAAAAGTAACAAACCGCAGAACAACCTCGACCCTCCTGGGTCGAACGACTTCTCGCACGGCAGGCGGCAATGCGCGGCGTGCGCGCGGCTCTCTTCGCGCCAACGCGGCACCCCGCTGGAGCAGGGCAGCTGTCTGGCCAAGGCCGCGACGCGCAAGGCGCGATTAACTGCGCAATCGTGGGAGTGACCTCGATTCTCGAGCCTCCACTTCTCCTCGAAGCTCGAAGCTGCAGACTGTGTCACCGATTGGTTGAAGCCCTCGACCACTTCTCCTCCTTCCCCTCCCCTCCTCCCACCAGACTGCCACCCCCCCGTGCCTGGCCCCTTCCCGATCAACAGCGCGCGGGGGATGGACGCGCGCAGCAGCGCAACGGGGATACCAGTAAGCTGCAGCATTGACCAATGATGCCCCAGCCAAAAACATCGCAGTCAGCTGGGTGCCGAAAACAAATGCCGAGACCACGGCGGACAAAACAATGGAGAGGGACGTCGCGATGTTCTTCATTATGTTGTCCGTATATCGAATGGCGATCGCGATCAGCAGGCCTCTCAGGCCCTGCAAGGCAATGCTCCCCAAGGTCACCGCGGTGTACCCGTGGAAGAAGCCCTGCTCTAGCACGAGAGCCAACTGCCCAGTGGTCACGAGCCCACCACATCCGATGAGGACCGAATAGACAAAAGAAGAAACACATTCATAATCACAAACTTCCGGCGCTCCGCGCGGACTTCTTGGATCGGCGCTGAGCCACCCTGCCGTCGTCCCGGGCGCCGCCCCTTGCGCGCCCCGCGCGCCCGGTGAGGGGGGTCCGGCGCCGACCCGAGAGATCCGTGCGGAGCTCCGGAAGCTCGTGTGCATGCTTTGTTTTTCTTCTTGGAAATGGAGCCCGAGCTGCGTGTTTCTCTGCCACAGGTCGAGCTTCGAGCCCCCCTTGAACAGCTTCTCTGTGTACACTCCCGCCAGCCCAGACGAGAGCGTCGCCAAGAGGGTCAGCGTCAGTCCGAGGGTTAAGTTTGAAGACTCGGAACGGCCCTTGGACTGAGACATCTCCGAAAGCTGGGGGAACAAGAACCGCAAAAAACATACACCTTCGGAGCTCAGCGCGGACTTCTTGGATCGGCGTTTGCACCCCCCTGGCGGCGCCTTTCGCGCTGCCCCTGACGCGGTCTGCGCGCCAGGGAGGGAGGCCCAACGCCGATCCAAGGAATCCGTGCGGAGTTCCCAAGGTGTATGTTCGTGCAGCTGTTGTTCTTCAAATAGCTGTACGACGGCAACTCCGATCGTCAAGACGACCAGCGCGGCCCACTGCTGCCCCTTGAGCGGTTTTCCTAGAATAACAACAGAGAGAACGGCAGTGGATATAATTTTCAACTGAAAAGTGACTTGGTAGATCGCCGCTGGGAGGTAGGATAACCCCAAATACTGCAGGTTGTTCTGAACCACATAAAGAAAGGCAGGGACGCAAGACTTGGCTAGTTCGCCCTTCTGCTGGAATGTCGACGACAAGGTGCCGTGCTCTCTTAAGACCAACAACATTGACGCAAACGCCTTCAATAGCTCCTGCATGATCACCGCAGTCTGCGGCATGAACTCGTTTTCCGTCTCCGTTGCCCTCGTGTACCGCATGACCAGCACAGCGCTACTGTTCTGAACTGTGAGGCACACGAGCGCCACGGACGCGAGCCACGCGGAAGGCTCGGGTTTCGAAGCCTTCACGGCCGCGCCAGGAGTCATCGGATCCTTCTCGCGAGCGTCCAAGCCGCCCCTCTCCACGTCGCCAGTGAGCGCATCCGTCTCCAACGCGTCGGTGATACCAGAGAGCCAGACGACCACATGCGAAAACAGCGCCTGCCAGCGTGGACCCCACACGCACTGTGGATGTGTAAGCGATGTTGTGCGAGCTACGTGGTGCAAACTAAGTGGTGCAATCTGAGTCGTGCAAGCTATGTCGTGCGAGTAATGTGGTGCAAACTACGTGGCGTAAGAACTGTCGTGAAAGTATAACTAATGTGGTCAATGCAATGCGGTGAAAGCTATGTGGTGTAAGCTACGCGGTGCAATATGGTGCAATCCACCTTGTAGGACTTGAGGTCGGCTATTCCAATTCTCACGCAAAGATCCCGCACTCCCCCCCGCAAGGTGCTTGACAAAACCCACGCGGCCACAATTGCGGTTACTGATTGGCACTTGCTAGCACTTTTCTACGGCGGCACTGGCGCGGGTACGCTCGCGCGCAGGCCGACCGCCAGGTTTGGCGCAACTGTCGCGACCACGATGGCGCGCGGGCACCTGAGTGCGGGCCGGTAACTCGGGCAGGCGCGATATCATGATGACATCGGTAACGGCGGCAACGATGATGATACGAGCGATAATGAAAGCACTGATGACGATGACGACTGCGAGGCCAATGACGGCACCGATGCTGGTGACGGCGATGGCAATGAGAATTCCCATGTACCGGTGATGAAGGTGATTGTGATGATGATGGCAACAACGGCGGCGATTGACGCTGACGACAGCGGCGGTGATGCGATGGCGCTGATGAGGGCCATGAGGAAGTGCACGCGCGCAGAAATTCAAGATATCTAGGAGACTTGTTGAACAACTTTTTTCTTTCATAAGTGTGTTGGACATCTCAATTTTGAAACGCTTCGAATGCCAGTGGTTGTTGAAGGATTTCGGCACGCGCGCGTGGCGACGCGCGCATGTGGCCCGCATTGTATTATTTGATACGGATTCGTGCAATGGGCGCATGCTGGATCAACGCTGATGCACCGCATGGTTAGATGAGAATGCAGCAAAAGCACGCGGGCAGAACATGTGCAAACAATTTAATGCAACACACATATGTGTTGTTGATTTGTCGAAGCGCATGCAAAACTAAGATGCTTGGTATGATTTCGACATTTGCGCACGTCGACTTGTGTGGAAGTATTGCAGGAAAGGACTCGTGAAACATGAATGCTCGAGGTAAGCAAATGTCTCCGCATGACATTCTTTGACAGGGGTGAGAAGGGGTCGATTACCGATGGCCTGGAATGGTACGACTCCCCAAGCAATGTTTGCACTCGGGGGTTCTTCCTTGCGTTTCTAAAGAATTGGACGGGTGTCCCGAAGGTTCCCCACGTTCCGGCTTGCTGCCGCGCCGTTGCCGCCTATGGGGGTGTCCCCGGGATTCGCCGCGTCTCGGCCCGTGGCAGCCCGTGGGGGTGTCAAGAGACTCTGCCACGTTCCGAACAGTTGCCGCCCGGTGCCCCTCGTTGCCGCCCGTGTGGGTGTCCACAGGATTCGCCACATTCTGGCCCGTTGCCGTTGCCGCCTGTTGGGGGATCCGTTTTCGGTAGTCCCCAGGCCTGGCAATAGCACCCAGGGGCCGAAATCGAGGATTGGGTGGCGACATCCGAACCCTACCCCCACCAACTATCCATTTTCCTGAATCGATGGGACGCGAGGGTAGGGTTCGGATTTCGCAACGTGCTCGACGAATTCTGAGCCCTACCCCCGCCTCCCACCGAGTTGCCTGAATCGTTGATCGGCGAAGATGGTGTTCGGATCTCGCCGCCGAGCCTCAGGACCCGCTCCGGGAGCAGGAGAAGGGAGTGTAAGGGAGGAAAAGGAGGGAGGGGAGAGGCCAACGAGAGGGCCGAGGAGGAGGGGGAGGAGGAGGAGGAGGAGGAGGAGGAGGAGGAGGAGGAGGAGGAGGAGGGGTCGGAGACCTGCGTCGGCTCGGCACGAGGTCACTCGAGTGTGGTCTGCTGCCTCTCGGGCTGTCGGAGGCCTGCGCCGCTGCCCCGACCGCCTCCGCCACCGGTACGCCGCCGACCGCCGCCGCCATCGCAGGCGCTGCGGGCGGGTGCGCCAGGGCGGCGGGGGCGAGACCCGACCAATCGGTGACACAGTCCGCAGCTTCGAGCTTCGAGGAGGAGTGGAGGCTCGAGAATCCAGGTCACTCCCACGGGCGCCCAGCTAATCGCGCCTTGCGTCTCGCGGCCTGGGCCGGACAGCTGCCCTGCTCCAGCGGGGCGGCGCGCGGGCGCGAAGAGAACCGCGCCCACGTCGCGCATTGCCGCGCGCCGTGTGAGAAGTCGTTCGACCCAGGAGGGTCGACGCTTCTGCGGTTTGAGATCCGGCTACGCCAGAGCTCGGGGGCTGCTCGAGGTGCCCCTGGCCCGAGGTGCCCCCAGCTTCCCGCTGAATTCTGGAGCCCCACTGGGGCCCTCTGGGCCTCGTGAGGGGTGCCCCTGGAGGCCATGGGCGCCTCAGTGGAAATCCTGGGGGCACCGTGGGCCAAGGGGCACTTCCAGCAACACCCGTAAGGTGGGGTCGGGTGGTTCGCGCGGCGCCGGCGCAGGCAGAAATTTTTGACAACGCCTCGATCGTTCAGCCTTGAGCCGATCGCGGCCCCGATCGTTCGAATATGAATTCCGTCGGGTCTTGTGGCCTTACCGTGTCCCTCGGTACTTCCGCGTCGCTATGTCGTGCGGAGTTCAACCTTGAACGCATTCGTCGGCGGTGCTGGCGCGCCATCGCCGCATGAACCTACCGTGGCAGAGGTGGGGTTGGGAGGAAAATCGCTGTGTGATCATCCAGCTGGGTTCGTTCCCTGACTCCACCTTGGAATCACCTCCCCACCTACGAAACCCCGAATCACGGTGCAGCCGCACCGCTCCAAGGTGGTTAGAGGCCTTCTAGTCCGGATAGATGGGGTCGGATGATCACGCCGCGTCGGCGACGTCGGCGTGGACAAAATCGGGCTCCACATCGAGCCGCATCGCCGATGCACCGGCGATGCGGCGCGATCCCCCGACCCCATCTGCTCGGGCCCCGACTGGGAGGCCTGGAGCGGTGAGGGCTGCCAAAGGACCCCGCCTCTCCCTGTCAGGGCAAGACCACAGCGGGATAATCTTGGCCGTTTCTGGCCTCTGGAGGCCCTCCTCGGGCCCTCGCCGGGCCTCGGGGCGGTCAAAAAACAACCCGGGACGAAGAAACACACCCGGGGAGGGGGGGCTGTCGGGCCCCTGTCGGCGAGACATCACCAACCGATCGGCGATACGCCCCCGATAGCGTACCCGTACGCTCCTGGAGGGGGCGCTGTCGGGCCCCTGTCGGCGATGAATGGGCGATTGGGGGTTGATGCGTTCCCCCCTGAGCCTATCCTTAAGCCGGGCCAGTCCTCCTACAGGGGGATTTTGGACGAAAAATGAAAAATAATCCAAAAATGCCACAATATTGTCAAAACGTACTCAACAAATCGTCCCCTGACTATTCGTTGACTATTTTTTGAGTATTCGTCCTGTAGGGGGACAGGCCCGACTTAAGCCTCCCCCCCAAGCGCTGCCCCTGAGGTGGGCTGGCGGACGGGGAGCGACGAAAGTTACACTTGTGCACCGTCGAGGACGCCTGTCCCCAGGGCTGCTGAAGTCGATACACCGACGGTGGCACCGCAGGGATAATTTTCCAGCCGCCCTGGCACTGGCGTCCCCGATGGCGGACAAATCGATCCTATGCTGCTCTTTGTCCGCTGAGCGGAGAGGTGGGTGCGAACGATGAGAGGAATTATTGCGCTCAAGACGACTCCTAGATCCCCGACATGGACCTCAACGGGCGGCCAAGAGGCTCCCAAGAGGCCCCCAGAGGGGGCCCCAAGAAGCCCCCAAGAGGCCCCTAAAATGCATCTAAGAGGAGGCCTCCCAGAAGCCTCCAAGATGAAGGAAGATAGGGGCATAAGGCTGCGGAACCAAGACGGGGCGTTTCAGACCCGCGCCTGGCTCAGACAAAATACTGAACTGGAGCGGGTGTCAGATTCCGTCTCCTTCCTGCTGCGCCGCTACGCTTGCGCGGTGGAGTTTGCGCCGCAGGCAGCTGTGTGTGTGTGTGTGTGTTACTCTGTGTGTGTGTGTGCAGGAAGCACCAGACTGGAACACTGCCGATTTGCGCTCAAGACGCCAACCCCTTACGCTGTCCCCTTACGCTGTCCCTGATCCCTGCCCCTCGCCCGCTCTCTGGACGCCCGCAATGGGTACGGACAAAACACGGTGCCCGGCAGCGAACGTCGTGAACAGCCGACAGCGGCCGCGACTGGACAGGAGGCGCTTTGCCTCAGATGGACAACGTCCGCGGCGACGCCGACAGCGCGAACCCTGTCCAGAACGGAGGAAGAACTACGGTTATGTTGCTCCCATCGTACTGAAAGACCACATCCCAGAAATAATTTCAAACCCCCTGGAAAAGTGTCGAAAGAGTGTCGAAACAGTGTCGGACGAGTGTCTCCCATTGCCCGGCACTTGAAAACCCTCGAATTTCGGTACTTTTTCTGGCGCTCGAAATTCTTTCTGGTGGTCAAGGCTCAAGTAGGTTGGAACATCATAAAACTGCGGTCGGTCCTCGCACCCTTCGCCTCCGCATCCCTTCAGGCCCCTCGACCTGGAGGGCCCAGTCGCCGGAGGCATCCTCGACGAACGGCGCAAGTCCCAGACAAAAGCCGCGCGGTGACCCCGCGCGTTTTATGTTTCGTCGTCTTTTTCGTCGTCGTCGTCGCCCTCTCCCACCAATATACCATTACACCAATACTTTACGGCGTCAATAGCCAATGGAGGGGGCCGAGGACCTCCCTGCAGCCCCTCGGCCAACGAAGACGGCTGCAGGGAGGGGTCCAAACGCACCTCCACCTTCATGCACCAATCTACCAACACACCAGTAAACCAACTCCTCATATTCCTCCATGGGGCCGTGAACGGGATTTATCCCCTGCCGGCTGACGGTGCCTGTCAATGTCAGTAATCTATTACTCTGTG